TTTAAGTCCAGGGTTCGAATCCCTATTGTTTTCATGTTTTTCTATTTTCAACTTATTTTTAGTCCGATTGGGTGCAGGGCGTGCTATTTCTGTTTTATATTGATCTAGGCTTTCAATGATGTTTTTTCCCCAGGCTTCCAAAGTGCGCGTAGCGAAGCGAAGCGCACTTCAGGAAAATCTTTTCCTCAATTCTTTGATCCACTGCGCATGCCTGGAAAAGCGGCATGTTCATTTTTGTGGCATCTGTCATTTACCCTCTTTCAATACTTACTAGACAGCAGCTGTGCTCTCGATATCTGCCGATCCGTTGAGATTTTGGGCAACCTATAATTATATAATTGAAGTAGAATCTCTTTCACTTCAATATGATTTGCATTTGTTTGAATTATTTATTTAAGTTATTAACAGCCAAATAACAAAATGAAATACTTTTTTTTTTCAAATAGTGCAACTTCACGAAGCTGTAACTCATAACATATGTGTGTTACAAAATAAAAAATTCCATAGAAAATTTGGAAATTTTGTCTTCTTTAATATTGTTGGGAACATATTTTGTCGTGAGAGCCACCGTTTTTGAGTTATTATTAAAAAACCAAATTTTTGTACCTAAAATCCAAAATGGCGGCTCGAGCGCATGCGCCTCGAAGTCAAAAACTTGTATTTTTCATAAGGGCAACAAGCTTAACAACATACAAAAAAATCGCTACTACCCCACCTTTTGCATTCAAACACCCCTTTTTGATACCCACGTACTGGATTAAATCGCCTTTATTGGAAAAAGTACATTTGACATAAAGATTGCACTTGTTTTGACCTGATATTGGTTGTAATGCGATCAAATCCGAGATGACTACTTATGAAATTGTACCAAATTTTAGAGAAATTCATTTACGAATGCAGAAGTGATATGCTTATACAGGGGTGTGGCCCGTTACCGTGTCACCCGGTATTCATCAAGGTCATTATCATATGATCAGCCTAGAATATTTTCACATGATCACCCCGTATAGTATCATATTCACTGAATCGGAAGAGTACCTACATGAGAAAATGATATACCTACCTAATGGAACAAAATACGTGCCCATTGTCTCTGATCTATTGTTGTCAGTTCAGTTAGATTATACTTCCAAATACTGTAACTTGATCAGTGCTATTTTAGGCATCTATCTAATAGTTTCGGAGTAGAAATTCATGTCTCTCAAGTTCACTCTTTTGTAGTGAATTATGTGATTGAGTGAATAAGATTGCATCTGCAAAACACAATTGATTTTATGGTAGATTCACAAGATGATCAACATCAATGATATTATTTTTCATAGAAGAAGTTAACTCATGAATAACATCAACTTCAATTTCCATACATGATTGGCTTCAAGAATCAGTTTATCTGAATGAATAATATAATAATATGAAGAAACAATCTATGAATTAATAAGATTTTTGTACTTGCACTAGCGGTGAAGTGCACTTTACTGTCTGGTTTCACGGGCGTAAAGTTGCACTTTAGCGCCCATCATGGCCCACGGGCCGTAAAGTACTTGACCGTCTGCCTCTTTTCAAATTCCTTGATTTCACATATTAATTCATGAAATACCTATATTTGCACTCTCATCTGATTCTATGATTTCCAGCGGCATATTTCATACACATCGCGCCACTGTAACCTGTGGTCAAAGTTGGAAGAACTAACAAAATGTAGGTCGCGTGCACGATGACCGACCCTGGAGGTGAAACATTAGGTTTGTTCTCGTTCGAAATATCAACAGTGCGCAACCATCGCAACCATCGCAAGCATGCGCAGTTCCACGAAACATGAAAAATGCAAACAGCTCTGAGAACAAACCTATCGAAACACAACCTCACTTTTCTTAGTTGTTTACAAAGGAATCAAAGGATTGAAATAGTTTTTCACAATATTTTGGCATACGAATTGATTTTCGAGCTATCCATTGATTCAAGTATGCCATCACATCATTGTGATGTTGTACAATGCACAAAAAATGCAGCGAGAGACGAAATAATATGATTTTCCATCAGGTAAATAGTGATCTAACATATAGTTTTCATCATGAAATTTCGTCATCTCATTAAAAATTCTCTTGCCACTTCTGCAATAGAAGTCAGAAGCTAGATAGTGCTAATAGAGTGAGAATGTTCACAACACACACGATCATATTTCGCTAGCATTTCAGACCAGTCCTCCCGTTTGGTATCATGAATTCAATCTTCTTGCCTTATTTTAGAAACATCATGAATATGTCTATCAGCTCCTATTATTGCGAAGGAATCCCAAATCCCAATAAGAAATAACAACATTTCATAATGAGAACTATATGTATTGTGTATACTATACTACTTTTAGATCACAATGTGCCTATATACCTGTAAAATCGGATTCCTTCGTCTCCCGCTGTATTTCTTGTGCATTGTTCAACAACACAATGTGATAGCATGCTTGAATGATTAATTAGCCAAAAAACCCGATTCGAATGCCAGAATAATTTCGATCAATCCCTGGTTAACGAATAAGAAATGTGAGGTTGTGGTTCAATGTTTTATCTCCAGGGTCTGTCATCTGACATATCTTACATGCAACATATATGGACGCGACCTATACTCTTTTTTTATGACATTTGGCCGCTACCTACGATATCTTTTGCTCCGTCAATAAAATAATTGGTCGTAAAGTTCAAAATTGAGAGTGAAAAAAAAAACGCAAGTCTGCTCAGGTGTTTCCATAACTCGAGTTTTTGTATGTTTTGGTCATATTCATGGTCATATAATAACATTTTGGGATTTTTCAATTTGACATATTAACCTCACGTTTTAGTAGCGGCAACTGGCGAGATTAAGAATGTTAGCCCTCATTCGTTGAGTGATTGCTTTCTTGCTGTCTGAAATATATCCCATAAGTCATGGGTCAAAAGAAGTGGGGTGGTAGGAGGAGTCATTTGCAATCGAACTAACTGTATATGTGTTTATGCAATTGTTGATGCTCAAAATAATAGTTTCTTCCATTTATTGGAAAAAAAAATTATCACAACAAGGCTATGTCACGTTTGTGACTTTTTCTTTCACAAATTTCATCCTCATGGATGTACCGTATCCATCCATAAATAATTTGTATGGCCTATGTTTTATTTTCTATCAATTAGGAGATATTCAATTCAGTTGATTTTTTTAATGCCGCTTACAGATTTGAAAAATACCCCACAAAAATAATCAACTATAAGCAGAAGTTGCCCATTCAATACAGATTTCGAAATGGTATAACATACGGGGTTATTCAGAAAAGCCTCTTTGTAATTAATTTTCATCAGTTGGGTCGTGTCTTTCAGAAAAATTTGATAACTTTCAACCATCAACAATTGGATAACCACATATACGGGTGTTTGCAAACGACCCCCTCTATCACCCTTTCTACCACTCCACTTCTTTTGATCTATGACTTATATGGGACACCCTTATTATTTATATAATTATCAATTTAGGTTAGGTCATCTCTTACAACTTCCGCTTTCATAAATGCAAATATCTTGTGACGCTGTTATAATTATGTTCTCCGTCAATATAACCTTGTAGATATACAACAATTCATAAAGTAGTTTGTAGGTAGGTAGCAGTTTTGAATATATCAGAAATTGTCGTGAGAATGTTCATCAAGATTATCGCACGTTCAACAAGAATGATGGAGGTTTTGTAAACCATGTAATCTCAAATACAGACGTAACAGTACCGATTCCGGATGTATCATATCATTCATATCAGTCCACATTTCGGATGACAATATAAACCAGTCTTCGGTGTGGGATTGTCAAAATCATACCATTCGTTTTTGGTATAGGTTTCAGCTGTAGTGGGCTAGAAAATATTATTCATATCTTCATACTGACTCAAATGACAGTGTTGAAAATTCGAAAATATTTCGATATCGAGTTTTCTTAGGAGTTTTGGTTTCGCTAAAAGAGATTTGAAACTGTTTTGATTTTTATCGATAATCTTTGAGAATATTGAGGGGTTATAGCTGTGAGTCTTTTGAACTCTCGAGAAAACTGAGATATCACCTCACACAATGAAACAATCAACACTGTATCTTCCCTTTTTTCGAGATCGCGAATGTCATACATAGAATTCCGTGTATTATTGTCAAACACTGATGAATTTATCAGAACGCATAAGATCTAATAGATGTCTGATTGCAAGTTATAAAATATATATACATTATCTGAACATAACATATATTTGAATCATCATATGAATTTCTATTATCAAAATAAGCGAACGAATAGAGACGCATCAAACGGAATTTTTTACAAATAATAATTTCCATCAATAGTAAACTAGTGAACAATTGAAAATGAACGAAAGATCGGATAAAGACAAACCCATGCAGTTCTATTCATAATTAATCATTGAAGATTGAACAAAACGATTGATTGAACAAATGATTCTCCACGAAACTACCATCCTTCCATTTTGTTCAACAATCTTGTTGAAGAAGAGAGTGAAAGGTGTTGCAAGCTTGATAAGCCTCTTAACTCTAGAGCTGAAGGGTGTTAACACCATGGAAAGTAAACTGTCATGCGCGAGAGGGCACAGTGGTGCGGTAATTTTCAAGTCAATAGCAACGTTTACGAAACCACATACTACTACGTACAGTTGAAACTGAATCTTTTCAAAATCCCGAAAGTGATTGACCTAATTGGTTCAAAAGATGGCCGTGACAACGTTGTGTTAAGGTTGCCACGCGACTTATGTTTGGTTGCGCAAATTTTTCTAACACGTCGCCTTAACGTTGAATTGCTCTACTTGGGTATCGATCGAACAAAATGCTCACAATGTGAAAGAACTGTCACGTTCATGAATACTTGTCATAATAAGATCACAACGTGATCGATCAATATGAACTCTTCTTCTCGAAGTGAGCTGAGGAACCATATCGCATATTTTAGACATCAATTGAATTACACCCTGTATAAGTATTCTTTCAATTTCAGGTCCAGTCTCGCTCAAACTCGACGACGACAAACGAAAAATCTCCGAGTTATCCCTTCCTGCCGACCCCAAGAAGTCCACATCAGGCTCAAGTGGGAAACTAGATGCATACATCACTAGGTGCCGAAGCTTTGGATCACTACTTCCTCAACATTTCAAGAAAATTCGGGGAGCCCGTAAAGTCCCTACAGAAATCGAGAGTGACGACTCTTTCGGAGGATTAGAAGACTGGGACCTAGGACTCTTAGAACACTATAATCCCAAAGATGCCAGTTTGCCGCGACCAAGAAAAGCCGAGAGGAGTAGCAAGGATGTCATTTCTGACCTAGAGAGTATGATAGTCCATGAAGAAGATATCGAAAAACCGATACCGCCAGTCAGAAGATCAGAATCGTTGGTCAAGAAGATCAACCGAGAAGCTGCTCAGAGTGCTCATGAAGTATCCAGCGAGCAACTCGATAACAACAATATCGGATCTTTAAACCGTACACCACCACCATCACCGATTCATCAGAGAATTTCTGAACAAAGATTGTCACGAACAAGCTTGCCAACGGAAGAAAATGTCCTGGTGGAACATTCAAGTCTGCTCAAGATATTAGAAAATTTCAGCATAAGAGACAAACTGATTAATGAAGAGAACAAAAAAACTGTGGGTAACAGTATCAAGGCGAATATCAGTAGTAACGAATCTTCTTTAACGCCCTCTCTGGTCGAATTCGAGAAAAACATACCTGTCAACTCTATTGAAGATTTTCTCACTGCTGAGAAAATTAATACTGAGCGTGATATCAATGCCAAGCTGAAACAAGTTATTGTTGCCTAGTTGATATTAATAGATTGAAACTTCCGGATTCACCTGCCTAGGATAAGAGAACATCAACGTGGGATAGCTAGATTTCAGAAATTTGAGGTCTGAAGTCAGTTCGGTTTTTGGAGTTGTTTTTGATACTGTACAAGATCTCTATGAAGATGTTTCCACTATTTAATGAAATTTGACTCTAAGTAATTCCATACCAAATAGGCATAGCCTCTTTCCAAACAAGAAAAGATACCTAGTGGAGCATGATATGTTTGAAATGGTAGCTGAATGGTAGCTTGAACATTTCGTTTCCTCGTTAGTTGTTGTTGTAAATCATGAAAGTACCATCGATTTGAGATTGAATGTTGAAACTTTGCGTTTCCAATAGGGACATAATTGATCAATAGAGTTAGTTCGTCATTAATTTCACAACGAACGACTTATGTATTAACTTGAGTCCCAACATAAGGTATTGAAGCTTCTTGTATGATTTATTTCAATTATTCATTCTTGTTGTTCTTTACCGTGATATTTATGAGTGTTCCGGAATTGGAGCGATGAATCAAATGAGCAATAGGAAACGAAACGAGAGGAAATTAATGCAAATTGCGACGAAAAAATTGAACAATTTTGAAAATAATCTGTAGTTCTCTTAGAAATGTGTTATAATGTTTGATAAGAAATTAACGACAATACCCATACGTTTGATTCATTTATTGTGATTTATTGTTTCATTCAGATTTTAATTTCGAAAATATACTGATGTATAATCGACAAAGTTTAATCTTGTAACTGTTCTGCAGATACCTTGGAATAGGTAAGTACGTGTTATGTAGTAGACATATTCATTGGTAGGTACTCATTGTATAATATGTATAGGAATAAAAGGAGTTCGCAGGTTAGTTGTATATAGGTACTATAGCAATTCAGGTAGGTACATAAAGATGTACATATCATAAGGATTACACATTATAATTTATTCTTGTAATTGTTTTCAAGGTGAATTACATTTTCACTAACGAATATCAGTCTTCTGATTTCATGATTCGAATTGACATGGTACGATTTTCAGAAATTCATGCACTCGAATACAATATGCATCATCGCTCAAAACCCGATTATTTGAAACCATTCAATCCAGAACAGATGAATAAAATGGCTGTCGATCAGATATATTCTGGGGGATTGAATGATGCTCCTACCGAATGTTTTCATAACAAGCAAAATAGGCTTACACATTTCTGAATTGGCACATTACGTACAAAGGAGTTATAACCCATCAAAAAGTCATCCTAGAAATTTTGGGTAATGACGAAATTGATGTGTAAAAACCATATACGTATTAATAATCAATACGGATAATCTCTATCTGTTTCCATAGCGAAACATGAAGCCGATTTTTGAAGACAAATGACTATCCATAAGGAAGAGTTTTGAAACGATCAGACACATACTGCTTTGATTGAAAGGCTAGTAAACGTCATTGTCCACCTAAACGCATGTCTTTGATGACTACTATAATAGCGCATGGCGCATGCGTATCATGCCACCAAATCCTTATGGATATTCATTTGTTTCATATTTTTGGCACCCGTTATGATCCGTATTGTTTATTAATACGTATATGGTAAAAACGGTTGGACAGGTCGATATTAGTCTGACAGGGGACACATTGTGTTTTCCTTCAAATCAAGATAGACCTGTCCGAGCGTTTTTCCACATCTATTGTATTATTTTCCGAAACCCACATGTCTAGTTTTCGATAGGCCAACTTCATTCCATGTTCTTGTATCTGAATGCGAATAAGTTTATGAATATATTAGTTGAGGTTTTTCACACAGTTCTCAGTTAGAGAAACGTGTTGATTGAAAAAAATACAGAGCACTTCTTGAAATCAGAAAATAATAACATGAGGTTTGTTGAATAATTAAGCATTTCACTTTGAGAATTTTGACTTTCCCGTAGGTAGATGACATTTTCATGAAAAAGTAAGTGAGTATCACGTCAGTTGATATTACTCACTATGCCGATCAATGCAAAATATTGAAGATCATGCGAACCTTGCAAATAGTATGATTTTTCTATGAGTGAATACCTGAATATAATCACCACATCAATTATGGGCCAATAACTGAATAAAACACAATGATAAGTTCATCCTACGACCACCATGCACATAGCAAAATAATATACAAAGTAAGTGCTAAGCATATATACCTTCATCGCCAATATAGCATATGCTATATATGTGCTGAATATGCCCTTCACAGAGTTGATTTTATTATTGTAAACCCCCTCATTTTTCTATTCTCGTTTTCAACAATAGAATATTGAGATGATATTCCAAACATATGCTTACAGTGTATAGTTTCTATTTGCTGAGCATATGCTTCATATATGTTTTTGGCAGAGAGTATAGCATATGCTACAGATATGCCCCAATCATATATTCTCTGAATATCAACAAATATTCTCAGGATATAAACGTCCATCGCCAATAAAGCATATCATGCTATAATTATGCCGAATATACCCTTCAAAGGGTTGGTTTTATTAATGCAAACCCCAATTTTTTCGTTTTTGTTCTCTTCTCATTCAAAAAGGTTCAATACTGATTTTATACAATTTTTTGTACTGGTTTCAATCATTTTCACAGACACAATATATCTGCAATTATACAGCGAATACCAAAATATCTACATTTCTCAAATAGAATGTGCTGCGATGTATATATTTCGATATATAAGAATCTCTCATATTTGAATCTATATTCATCTGGAAATTCCAGACGTGAATCAGAATGATATCTATCAAAATATACAGCATATTCCATTAAAAAAATATATTCCTTCCTTTTAATGACCTGTATTTTTGAAGAGGAATTGCATCATTGTTAATATGAGTGAAACCTGTACAAAATCAATGTTTAATTGTTGAAAATAGGTATAAAACTGAAAGATAATGAGTGTTTCACATTGATTGGATGTCCAGGTGAAGTAATCTATATGGTGTTCAATATACAGTATGATGCAAATGTATGGAATAAATTCATTATTTCAGAAATGGGCGACATTTGAAAAAATTCCAAAAACACGTGAGGTTTCATTTTTGAAGCCTCATCTCATGATATCCATATCACCGGTGTTGGAGTAATGACGTAATGAACGATATTTTCAAATGAAAACAGGGGTCACGTGACACCTCGTTTGAAAGGTCTACTGATCGTCTATTCAACAGTCAAAATTTTGCATAAGAAAATTGAAATTAAAATGGATTATCATTTGATTAACTGAATCTTGTAGAGGTCTGCTACTGAGTATTGAACAAAGAAGGGTCGTCTATTTAAAGAAATACATCAATTAATGAAGTTCTGAATTCTAGTTTTTGGATTTTTTCCGGAAGTCGTCTTGTTTTCAAATGAATTTATTCCATACATTTGTATGATACTGTATGTCCAAGGTGTCCATGGATACAGTGTGGACAACAATAGGATATCCACATGAAGATATCCATTAGATGTCTAGGTGAAGTAATCCATATGATGTCCATTGCATGCCCCATGACCCCTCTGATAATGTTACTTAACATGATCGTCCGGGTAGCAGCGACGTCGTTCGGTTCTTTCGGTGACCACAGGCCCACCTATAGGTTCAGACGTATCAGTGCAGTGATATGAGCCGTGATGCCGTCCGCCATTGTTATTGTAAACGTTGATGCATTGATAAATGAGAATTATTATTTCATCATTTATAGATATATGTATTTTTATATCGTTCTGAGGATTTTCACATAATTCGTTGGAATTTACTTGTGTTTTTAATAGTAGAACAGATCTGAAATTGAGTGCCTATTATGACGTCAACACAACCAAACTGAAATGATGAAAGGGAGTGTCAATAGATATAAAATATCACATCAATCTGATATAGAATAATATCATATTATTGAAAATAATCACATTTAAAATGAATATATCAACCAGAAGTATGGATATTCTTATTGACCAGATCTTATTCCTTAATATAGATGCATACATTCAAGACATGCTATTCAATTAACCATATGGATGTCCATCATGACGGATACCATATAGATGTCCATGGCAGATACCATATGGATAGCTAAAAAGTTGGAAACGCCATATCCTATGGATGTACATGAGTCATCCAGTGTACACAAACTGGATGTCCCATAAATGTCTATAGGACGTCCATTGGATCGACTTGTGTTACCCTAATAACACAATAACATCTGTAAGTCGTCGTAGAAACATCCATATGGGATGATAGGAACTTCTCTGGAAAATCCCTATTTTCCTTGGTACATTCTCGGGATGTGGCTGGCAACACCCGTGTCAGCATTTGCGATGTCTTATAAACATCCCATCAGAATGTTTGTGGGATGATATGGGATTTACCAGAGACATTCAGGGTACTTGATATGGAACATCTTGAGGAAACTTCTATATAGGATGTTTTTTGTTTGATGACAATAAATGGATTATTTTCAATCTGAAATCCTGAAAATGGCCGACCTTTTTCCAGATATCAAGTAACAATCCGAATCCGAAAATATAAGGTTGGTGCGGTCCAATAACTAATGAAAGATGATAACAGTTGTTTGAGGCTCATGTTTGTTGGCGCTGGGCCGACGGCTGTTAGTAACTCTTGGCAACGTAGTTGTACCGCCATCTATCGGCTGGTATAACAAATAGATTCAGCAATAAATATGCTGAAGAGATATATTTTGATTTTGTCGTTTATTTTATGGTTCATGAAGTTAAGCAGGTACTTTGGTAATCTTATTGGGGAATATTTAGTATAATTATTTCAATTTGTTATCGATGAAATTAGCCGGTTTGATATAGGTATAAGTATATATGTACGAATTCAGTTTTGATTTCCATTTTTTATCAACTTTTCAATGTTTCAAATGTCACAATTGTTTGAACTGTTCAATCATGTCAATCATCATTATAGCAGATATGGAACCATGATATTGTTAATAAAAAAAAGATCAGATGATATGTTTCTAGAACATCCAATGAAAACATCTGATGGATGTCCCAAGAGAAACATCTCTGGGATATCGTACCTAAGTTTGAACATTGGGATATTTGTAGGACCTTAGCGGGATGTACCAGCAAGATCTCGTGTTGTTAGGGTATCAGGGTTAGATACTCTGGATCTGGACTGTGAAATGTTAAACTAGATTTGTCCTGCGCATATTAGTCAATATGGATAAAGATTTTGTAAGGATTTGATTGAGTCAGAGACCTTGATATTGCAGAAGTACTCTGCAACTTGTATGTAGAATACATACCAGCCGTAATAACACAAAATATCCATTGGATATCCGTATTGTGTCTAGTATATATCCAAGCAGGTGTCCATTGACACATTCTGGACAACAATAGGATGTCCACATGAAGATATCCAGTAGATATATATACGGTGTTCGAATTCCAAGATATCGGCAGATCATGGGTTTTTTAAAATGTGACACACTTTATATATTCCATCTATGCATCACACTCGGGGTCTAGCGGTAATGATTACAGAGACACAATGATTACAGAGACATTGCAGGGTGGTTCAAGATTCATAATTCTGACCCCGTATCTTTAATGATAGTGGGAGCCTTCCTTGAGATTTTAGAATCATGTCGTGTCGATATTTCATTGCTATCGCTTATTATAAACGTTCGGGATATCTTCAGGAACTCGCACCAAGAATTTCTCGTTTTTGATACCCTCGGGATGACTTGAA